ATTCCTTATTTATATCCTTATAATAGCAAAGCAGCTATTACTCAGCTGAATTCAGCTTTGCCATCACAAAATAAATTACATTTTAAAATCATTTTCAAATAGAAAACACCTATTTAAATGGTAATAATATTTCACAATATTACCGTATTTACTGTATTTTTGATCAAATAAATGCAGCCGTTGTGAGCTGCTTAAACATAAAAAAAAAAAAACTTAATTATAACAAACTTTTGCCCGGTAGTGTATATGTATCATATTAAACTCTGCATGGAAATTCAAAAGATTATGTATATTGTATTTTGCAAAATCACATATACATTTTTACATTTCAAATTTGATTTAAAAACCCAAGCATGAACCAAGGTTTCCCTTGTTATCAATTTAAAATAGTGTTTTCTATTTCCAGATGGATGTAAAAAAATCTTTATATACATTTTAAGCTCTTCATTTCATCATATATTTCATAAAACCTGCTTGTAGTGATGTCCGATTTGTGAGCGAATCATTCTTTTGAGTCGATTCTTTTTTGTGAGTCACTCTGAATGACTTGTTAGCGAAATTAATCCCTTTAAAAATCCATATCCACCGACTGGAAAGGTCATAGGAATTCACCGGTCAAAAAGTGCAGAAACCCTTATAAACGTAAGCACTAAATTTGATTCACAGCTTTTGATGACTCGAAATCAATTATGAAGCTAATCTGAACGCTGATACGAGGTGCTGGACTCAATCAATGGTTTCCTTCTGCGTCCTCTTTTTGTCATTTAGGTGTTTTCCAGAAAGACGCGGCCCAACTAGATTGATATTGAAAGGTCACGGCTCCTTGCTCTTTAATAAATGATTGGCTGATGGATTTGACATAACCCAATCAATGACTGTGTCTCGGTCATATTTTAAAACACATTGGCGTTCGGATCTCAGTATTTACTTCAGCTCATTGCAGGGAAAACAGCTCAGCGGTTGTTTGGTTATGATAATGTCTCCATTTCTGATGTTTTTAGACTTTAGAAAGGGAAATGGATGTGTTTCATATTTGATGGTGTGTGCTATAGCCTATTTATGAGAATGAGAGAGCCTTTGAGAGAAGATTTACTGGTCCCAATGTCATAGTGCTTTTACTCAGCAAAACTCCCCGTGTCTCTAACGGATCTGGTAACGCGGGCTGTATTTATCAGTAAGTCATGCTCTAGCGCTGGAGGTGACAGTGATGTATGTCCTGCATGATGGATGGCTTTTGTGCCTGTATGCAAGTCCATTAGTTGAGCTGTTGCTGTAGTATTTTGCTGTTTGTCAGTGTTAGTCACATTCATACATCTGGCGTTTCAGCAGCCGCTGGAAAAGCTTTTAGGCAGTTCTGGGGAACTTTAGACTTGCTGTTTCTTGCTAAAAGCCTGCAATGAGTTTAATTTATGGTTGTTTTCAGTTATTAATATTTCATTGGTTGGCCAAAATCATGTCCGCACAGTTTGGCATGTTTCATTGTGTTATCACATTTTTTTTATTTTTTTTAAAACTTTTTTTAAAAGTTACAGCTACGAAATATGCTTATATTAAACAAATTTTTAATAACATTCGAATAAAGGGCAAATATGTATATAGGTTCAGAAAAAAAGGTACAAAAGCTGTCATTGGGACAGTACCCTTCAAAACGGTTCTAATATGTACAATTTAGGTACTAATATGTACACTTTTGATACCTATATGTACCTTTGAGGGACTAATATGCACTCTTTAGGTACAAAGGTGTACCTTTTGAAAAGTTACCGCCACAGTGACAGCTTTTGTACCTTTTTTTTTCTGAAAGTATACTGCATACAGTATTATGCTGTAAAAACTGTGACATTGTGAAATATTAAAAAGTATTTTACTAAATACAAAAAAAATCTGCATTTTTTTTCAATAGAATGTTCTTGTAACCGTGTAAACGTGTGTATAAACAGTGTATAAACCTCTTTACTGTCACTTTTGATCAATTGAATTTATCCTTGCTGAAAAGTATTCTTTTCTTTTTTGAAACGTTTCGACCCCAAACTTCTGAACTTCTAAATATTCTCAAATATTTAGTACTTTTCCCCCCTAATTTTTAAAGCAAGTTGACTAATTGGTCTTAATTAAAAGTCCTGTATAATTAGGCTGGTTTCTGGCCTTTTCAGTAATAATAAAATAATGCATATTCTAAGTATGAATAACAGATTGCATATATTGAGCCATGTTACGTAACGTTCTGTCTGTCCTCTCCTCTCACTAGACAACACAGCCGGCATCAGAACGCAGCGGTCCGGGTTTAACCGTCAGGAGCAGAACGTGTACCTGTTGCCCATCCTGGTGGTGGACAGTGGCCCTCCGGCCCTCAGCAGCACGGGGACCCTCACCATACACGTGTGTGGCTGTGACCCGGACGGGGCCATTCAGTCCTGCAACGCCACGGCGTACGTCATGTCCACTGCGCTCAGCCCTGGAGCTCTCATCGCACTGCTGGTGTGCATCCTCATTCTCATCGGTAAAACCTTTTACTTCACCAACTTTCTTTATTGATTTACAACGTCTGTGAGAATACAGTTCAATGCATTCCCAGTTTCTTAAAGAGGACCTATGTGTTATGCTGTTTTCCACGTTCATTTTTCTTCAGTAATGTTTCTATTTGAGTATGAAAAAGTTCTGCAAAGTTCCAAAGCACAAAGTCCCTCCAGCACGAGTTCTTCTCTATGTCAGTGTCAGTGTTTCTAAACGCCCTGAAACGCCTCCATTGTAGTCTTGAGTTTTCTTCAACGAACACGTCACAATATTCCTCATTTAAATAATTCATACGCAGAATAAGGGGGCGGGGCCTGGTTGAGTTAGTTAGTAGTGTGTTAAACTGAACTGGTGGTTATGGTAAGGGGCGGGACATTTCCCAAACACGCTCTAAGCGCTTGACCAATCACATCACACTGCTCCAGCCGACCAATCAGAGCACAGTGTGCTTTTCAGAAGGAGGGGCTTCATAGAGACAGGAACTAAACAGGGGTGCGTTTCCCAAAACCATAGTTGCTAACTAAGTTGGTTGCAATGCAATTTCCAAGTTAGCAACTATGGTTTTGGGAAACGCACCCCAGAGCGTTACTGGCAGACTGGAAGAGAGGAGCTGCAACAATGGAGAATATGAGGAAAATAATCAACATTCAAGCATGAAAAACTGTTCTAGTAAAAAAAACAAAAATCTTTGTAAAAGGGCATAATATTGCCTCTTTAACTACAAATGTGAAATGCATGCTTCAGGAAGCCAAGCAGGCAAGAAACTTAAGTAAAGCATGTATTTTAGTGTTGTGCATTGTCCTTTTGAGCGTGGACTACTTTTCTAGGTGGATGAATTTGTTCTGCATTAATGATGTAATTCCTGTGGGTGGAGTTCGTTGAATGTAAACAGTGCGTTACAGATAGTTGCATCACACACTCACACGGGTACCAAGCAAAAGTAACCAAGTTTTGTTTGTTTGTTTTTTGCTGGTTTCGCGATGAAAGACTTTGACAGACTGAGTTGATATGCGATTCTGTCACACCAGTCCCATGCTGTATGCATGCAATATTACGTTATCGGTATAGCTTTGAAACAGTGTGACAGATTTGACAGCATATTGACTAGCTTGACTGGTAGAGTATTGCAGAGGTCATGGGTTTGAATCCTATAGTGCACAAATGAACTGATGAAATTTGTTGCTTGAATTCAATGTTTGCTATGGATAAAATCAAAAAATCAAGTCAAAAGATTTTGCACACTTTAATGAATTTGCTTCTCATGACCTTAAAAACCTTTAACAAAAGACAGATCGCCAGGTGACTGATGGATCTCGAAGATGCAAATACATCCACTTGAGAATGCATGTTTGAGCATTATTATCTGCATTTATGGATCGATTAATAAAACCTTTCATCAGTAGTGTGCATTGAGACCAGCAGACTATAGAGGGAAGCAAGTACTGAACATTTGTGCTGCTTGTGCACACACACACGCACACATCATGTTTACCTCTACGACCGCTGTAACTCTTTTAATGGTCCATCATCATTCTTTAAATCCTTGTTCGTGGGTTCAAATGCGGCGGGAGGCAAAAAACCAAACTAGAATGACATGAAAGCTGATCAATATTTCATACAGCATCCTCTGCCCACTGACTGCAGTTGCTCATCCTCTATCAGGAAGAGTATGAAAGCTTTTGTTCACGCAGAGCGAACACACACACAATACAGGCTTTCAGTGAATGACATCCAGCCTCTCTAGTGGAGAACTGGTGAGTTAAGGGAAGCTGGTGAAAAGAGCAGCATCAGCACCACTGTCCCCGCGGATCACTGAGCGCTTTAAATAGAGCAGCCTTTCCAGACATCCACGGCACTCCTGTTCCCATGTAGAAGAGCCGTTGGACTGCGGTTCTGTTGTCATCGCTGAAAGTTTTATGACTTTCTTCTGGCCTCAGTATATCTGTCTTTATTTCTCTCCTCTACACTTAGAGCTTTTCCCATCCCTCTCTCTCTCTCTCTCTCTCTGTCCTCTGCAGTCGCTTATAAAGTATGCCACATGAATTGTTCTCAGTCAGCTGAGCAGGGTTTTTTTCCCTCCCTGTTGCTCATCTTTCCTGCGGTAAATCATTTATAAGTCGTGTGCGGGTCATCAGACGCACATCCTTTCTGTTTAATTAGCCATGTTTGCTCAGTCAAGCATCACTATCATTATTGCTCATACTTTTAGTCAGGGACTTTTCAAAACCGTTAACCCTAAGTATTAGAGCTTGTTGTGAAATAATAATACAGCCTTTGAAAGCATTATTTATGCTTTTTTTCTTCCCTATCCACTTACATAGTTTTGTGAATAAAATAATATTTTTAAGCATTTAAACATCAACTTTAGATATTATTGTAAAAAAAACATAAAAAACATTTTCATTACTGGCTGTGTTGAAAGGTGGGGGTGTGCCGAAAAGTAGGGGGTGTGCTGAAAGGTAGAGGGGGTGTGTCGAAATGTAGGGGGTGTGTCGAAATGTAGAGGGTGTGTCGAAATGTAGAGGGTGTGTGTCGAAATGTATAGGGTCTGTCAATGTAGAGAGTGTGCCGAAAAGTAGAGGGTGTGCCGAAAGGTAGAGGGTGTGTCGAAATGTAGAGGGTGTGTCGAAATGTAGAAGGTGTGTCAAAATGTAGAGGGTGTGTCAAAATATAGGGGGTGTGTAAAAATGTAGAGGGTGTGTCGAAATGTAGAGGGTGTGTCGAAATGTAGGGGGTATGTCGAAAGGTAGAGGGTGCGTCGAAATGTAGAGGGTGTGTCGAAATGTAGGGGGTGTGTCGAAATGTAGGGGGTGTGTCGAAATGTAGAGGGTCGAAATGTAGGGGGTGTGTCGAAATGTAGAGGGTGTGTCGAAATGTAGAGGGTGTGTCGAAATGTAGAGGGTGTGTCGAAATGTAGAGGGTGTGTCGAAATGTAGAGGGTGTGCCGAAAGGTAGAGGGTGCGTCGAAATGTAGAGGGTGTGTCGAAATGTAGAGGGTGTGTCAAAATGTAGAGGGTGTGTCAAAATGTAGAGGGTGTGTCGAAATGTAGAGGGTGTGTCGAAATGTAAAGGGTGTGTCGAAATGTAGGGGGGGTGTCGAAATGTAGAGGGTGTGTCGAAATGTAAAGGGTGTGTCGAAATGTAGGGGGTGTGTCGAAATGTAGAGGGTGTGTCAAAATGTAGAGGGTGTGTCGAAATGTAGAGGGTGTGTCAAAATGTAGAGGGTGTGTCGAAATGTAGAGGGTGTGTCGAAATGTAAAGGGTGTGTCGAAATGTAGGGGGTGTGTCGAAATGTAGAGGGTGTGTCAAAATGTAGAGGGTGTGTCAAAATGTAGAGGGTGTGTCGAAATGTAGAGGGTGTGTCGAAATGTAAAGGGTGTGTCGAAATGTAGAGGGTGTGTCAAAATGTAGAGGGTGTGTCAAAATGTAGAGGGTGTGTCAAAATGTAGAGGGTGTGTCAAAATGTAGAGGGTGTGTCGAAATGTAAAGGGTGTGTCGAAATGTAGGGGGTGTGTCGAAATGTAGAGGGTGTGTCGAAATGTAAAGGGTGTGTCGAAATGTAGGGGGTGTGTCGAAATGTAGGGGATGTGTCGAAATATAGAAATGTAGAGGGTGTGTCAAAATGTAGAGGGTGTGTCAAAATGTAGAGGGTGTGTCGAAATGTAGAGGGTGTGTCGAAATGTAAAGGGTGTGTCGAAATGTAGGGGGTGTGTCGAAATGTAAAGGGTGTGTCGAAATGTAGGGGGTGTGTCGAAATGTAGAGGGTGTGTCGAAATGTAAAGGGTGTGTCGAAATGTAGGGGGTGTGTCGAAATGTAGGGGGTGTGTCGAAATGTAAAGGGTGTGTCGAAATGTAGGGGGTGTGTCGAAATATAGAGGGTGTGTCGAAATGTAGAGGGTGTGTCGAAATGTAAAGGGTGTGTCGAAATGTAGGGGGTGTGTCGAAATGTAAAGGGTGTGTCGAAATGTAGGGGTTGTGTCGAAATGTAGGGGGTGTGTCGAAATGTAAAGGGTGTGTCGTAATGTAGGGGGTGTGTCGAAATGTAGAGGGTGTGTCGAAATGTAGGGGGTGTGTCGAAATGTAGAAGGTTTGTCGAAATGTAGGGGGTGTGTCGAAATGTAGAGGGTGTGTCGAAATGTAGAGGGTGTGTCGAAATGTAGGGGGTGTGTCGAAATGTAGAAGGTGTGTCGAAATGTAGAGGGTGTGAATGTAGAGGGTGTGTCGAAATGTAGAGGGTGTGTCGAAATGTAGAGGGTGTGTCGAAATGTAGAGGGTGTGTCGAAATGTAAAGGGTGTGTCGAAATGTAGAGGGTGTGTCGAAATGTAAAGGGTGTGTCGAAATGTAGGGGGTGTGTCGAAATGTAGAGGGTGTGTCAATGTAGAGGGTGTGTCGAAATGTAAAGGGTGTGTTGAAATGTAAAGGGTGTGTCGAAATGTAGAGGGTGTGTCGAAATGTAGAGGGTGTGTCGAAATGTAGAGGGTGTGTCGAAATGTAGAGGGTGTGTCGAAATTTAGAGGGTTTGTCGAAATGTAGAGGGTGTGTCGAAATGTAAAGTGTGTGTCGAAATGTAGAGGGTGTGTCGAAATGTAAAGGGTGTGTCGAAATGTGGGGGGTGTGTCAATGTAGAGGGTTTGTCGAAATGTAGAGGGTGCGTCGAAATGTAGGGGGTGTGTCGAAATGTAGAGGGTGTGTCGAAATGTAGAGGGTGTGTCGAAATGTAGAGGGTGTGTCGGAATGTAAAGGGTGTGTCGAAATGTAGAGGGTGTGTCGAAATGTAGAGGGTGTGTCGAAATGTAGAGGGTGTGTCGAAATGTAGAGGGTGTGTCGGAATGTAAAGGGTGTGTCGAAATGTAGAGTGTGTGTCAATGTAGAGGGTGTGTCGAAATGTAAAGGGTGTGTCGAAATGTAGGGGGTGTGTCAATGTAGAGGGTTTGGCGAAATGTAAAGGGTGTGTCGAAATGTAGAGTGTGTGTCAATGTAGAGGG